ACTCCCTACCATGGCACTGAAACTATTACTGTAGGTAATGGTCATACTTTACCCATCACTCACACAGGTTCAGGCTCAATTCACACCCCGAATGGTAAATTTCACCTCCACTCCCTTAATCATGTTCCCTCCCTTACTTCAAACTTACTGTCCGTTCACCGCTTTACCAAAGATAATAATTGCACTCTTGTTTTTAATGCCAACTCCTTTCAGATATTGGACAACGATACGAATCTGGTGCGGTACACGAGCCCCTGTGAGCATGGTCTCTATACCCTTCCTTCCAAGCCTATCCCTGTTGTGCGTCAAGCTGTCACTGCATCCACCTGGCATCGCCGGCTTGGACATCCGGCTCCTGCTGTTGCCAAGTCTATTTTGTCTACTTTAGGGTTTAAATTTTCTGATCGCTTACATTGTGAGTCCTGTCATGTGTCTAAGTCTTGTCGTTTATCCTTTGAATTCTCTGAACATAAGGCCACAACGCCTTTTCAACTAATTCATTCTGATGTTTGGGGACCAACCTCTGTTCCATCTATCTCTGGTTTTCGTTTCTATATCTGCTTTGTTGATGATTTTAGTAAATTTACTTGGATTTTTCCTCTTAAACACAAATCTGAAGCTTACTCTGTTTTCACTAGTTTTGAAAAAATGGTTAAAACTCAATTTAATTCAAATATTCAGATTTTTAGAAGTGATAATGGGAAAGAAGTTGTAAATACAGCCTTTGGCATTTTTCTTCAAAATCTTGGGATTCTGCATCACACGTCCTGCCCTTACACTCCTGAACAGAATGGTGTGGCTGAACGCAAGCATCGGCATCTCATTGAGACTGTCATTTTGGGTTGAAGCACTTGCTACCGCCAACTACCTTATAAATCGTCTACCCACATCCACCCTAAATAACCAATGCCCCTTTGAAGCCCTCTATGGTCGGTCTCCGGATTATGTTCACCTTCGTCCTTTTGGTTGTCTTGTGTATCCCTGGCTTCGTCCTCACAGACATCACAAGCTTCAACCACGTTCCACCCCCTGCATTTTCCTAGGTTATCATCCCACCATGAAAGGTTACAAGTGTTATGATCCTATTTCTCAGAAAACGTATGTCTCCTGTCATGTTCGTTTTGTAGAAGATCAGTTTCCCTACTCTAAACTTCTATCTACCCCAGCCTCCTCTAACCCTTTAGGCATCATTCCCATCTTTCCTCCCAGACCAGGCTCACAGGGTCCGGCACCGCACAGTTCTCAAATCGTTCCGTCTGCTACTGCTCCACAAACGGTCGACCGTTCCCCTCATACATCTACCCATGGTTGACCGTCTCCTCACACCCGTTCTGAACCTCTACAGACGGTTCACCACATGGACCGTTCCCCACCCCACGGTCGACCGTCCTCCCAACCCCTCTCTGAATCTCTACAGACAGTCGATACTATTACCCGTCCACCCCCACACGGTCGACCGTCGACAGCACTAATCCCCACAACAAATGCCCATCCCATGTAAACCCATGCCAAATCAGGCATTTTCAAGCCTAAAACCTATACTGATACCACCACTGATACCTCTCCTCCTACCTCTGAACCTCACACCTATCACCAAGCCTCCAAGAATAGCTATTGGTGCCATGCCATGGATGAAGAATTTGCAGCTCTGAATGAACAGCGCACATGGGATTTGGTGCCCCTACCCAAGGGCCGAGATCCTATTGGTTGCAAGTGGGTGTATCGCATAAAATGGAATCCGGATGGCTCCGTCTCTCGGTACAAGGCTCGTCTAGTGGCCAAAGGGTACCATCAAGAGTATGGCATCGATTATAAAGAGACGTTCATCCCGGTTGTCAAGCAGCAAACCATTCGCCTGGTACTCACTCTTGCTCTACACTATGATTGGCCTCTTCATCAGCTTGATATTACCAATGCCTTTCTCTATGGTACACTCGATGAGGATATTTATATGTCTCAACCACCGGGCTACGTCAATCCCAATAGGCCTGAGTTTGTTTGCAAGCTGCGCAAATCTCTGTATGGCCTTAAACAGGCTCCTCGTGCATGGTACACTTGTTTTGCTACTTTTTTGCAGGGACTTGGCTTCCAGTGTTGTCGTCATGACACCAGTCTGTTCACTTTTCACAGCTCCCGCGGCATGGTCATTGTTCTCCTATATGTTGATGACATCATTATTACAGGGAGCTCCTCTGACCTCATCTCTGCTGTTACTTAGGCTATGCATAAAAATTTTCGCCTCAAAGACTTGGGCCCCCTGGATTTCTTTCTTGGCATTGAGGTTCGTCGCTCTGCGGATTCTATCTTGCTTCATCAGACAAAATACATATTTGATCTTCTTCAGCGGGCTGGCATGACTGATTGCAAACCCACTGTCACTCCGATGGCGGCGCGGCCAACCTAAGAGATCTCATCCACCTTCTCCGACCCAAAATTGTTCCGTAGCCTTGTGGGTGGTCTACACTATCTTGCGGTGACTCGCCCTGATATTCAGTATGCTGTAAATCGAGTTTCTCAGACCATGCATAATCTTACAGAGAAGGATTACTTGGCCCTTAAACGTATTTTTTGCTACTTGAAGGGTACTTCTTCTCATGGCCTTCTGTTCAGAAAAGGCTCTCTTGATCTTGCTGTTTATTCTGACTCTGACTGGGCTAATGACAAAGATGATCGTCGTTCCACCACTGGGTATCTCCTTATGCTGGGGCCGAATCTTATCTCATGGTGCACAAAAAAACAGACTCGCGTCTCACGCTCCTCCACCGAAGCTGAGTATCGCGCTATGGCCGCGGGGGTGGCAGAGGCGATGTGGCTTCGTTATATTATGGATTCTCTGCATGTTCCGCCTACGAAACCTAAGATTTATTGTGATAATGAGTCCGCAATCTGTGTCACCAAGAATCCCGTTCTCCATGATCGCATGAAGCATGTTGGCTCTGACTGTCACTTTGTTCGAGATGAGGTTATGGCTGGCACTATGACTACACATCATGTTCCTTCTTCTGAGCAGCTTGCTGACATCTTGACAAAACCGCTTCCGCCGACTCCGTTCCATTATTTGTGTTCCAAGCTGCCCCTCGTATCCGTTGATCAGCTTGCGGGGGGATAATAAGAAGACTCCTAATATTATTTAGTTTCCTTATTCTTGTATTACCATAATTACTTTATTCCTTTCCTACTAGGAATAGGACACTCTCTTGTAATCCCTATATATAGGAACATATCTCTCAATATTCAATAAGACAAATTATTATCAAATTGTATCAATTTCTACCATTTATAAAATTTCTACAATCATTTCTAGGTTGCCTAAAAATTATCTTATCATTTTTAAATTTCCTAGAGTCATTTCTAGGTTGTCTAAAGTTATTCCTAAGTCCTAACATTTTTAAAATTCCTAGAATTATTTCTTATAGGTGGTCTATTTATCTTAACATTTTGAGCAATTTTCTTAGGCTCTTCTACCTTAAGATTTTCTAAGGTGCTCTTAAGTTCTATGTTTTCTAACTTTGAAGACTCACAAGAAGAACATGTAGAACTTGGGTCAATAGAATAGGAAGCTTCATTCATTGCCTTAATTTTATTTTTAAGATCATGATTATCATTTTTCAAAGCTTTATTTTCTTCTTCCAAATCATGAAGTTTAGCCTTAGCTTCTTTGGCAATTTTTGAAGCTTTCTTAAATTCACCAAATAGTTCTATAAAAGCTTCTTGTAATTCTTCAAAAGAAGGAGAGTTTGAAGTACTTACCTCTTCTTCTTCATTGGCTATGAAGCAGGTGTGAGGTTCTTCAATTGCTTCTTCAAGAGCTTCGTATTTCTCTTGAATGTCGTCCCATAACTTCTTGGCCGATGTATAACCCGAGAATGTTTGGAATACTTCCACGTTCATGGCACAATAAACAAGGTGTAGAGCTTTAGCATTTTGTTCGACCTTCTTGAAATCATCATCCGTGTATTCTTCTTCAGGTTTGAGAACTCTTTTCTTGCCAACCTTCTTTGTTGGAAAACAAAGTCCATTGTTGATAATCATCCATGATTTGTAATCAGTGGATTGAATGAATATTTTCATTCTCTCTTTCCAATACGAATAATTTGTTCCATTGAACAACGGGGGTCTTTCGGTGGATTGCCTTTCTTTAATCCTTGCGTTCAACATTCTCAAAAAAAATTTGATCGTTTTCTCAAACGTCACAAAGAGCGTTAGAGATACCTGCTCTGATACCAATTGTTAGACAATGCGTACACCTCTAGAGGTGGGGTGAATAGAGTTGTTGAGAATGTTTACCGATTTTCGTAGGATTAAAAATATAAACGAAAGTGCAGCGGAAATAAAAGAGAGAAGGCAAAGAACACACCGATGTATACTGGTTCACCACCTCGTGGCTAGTCCAGTTCCCCGAGAGACTCTCTCGAAGCTAGCACTACTTCCGTTAAGCTTACGGGTGCTTAACAAACCGTTTACAACTCGAGAACTTGAATCCCACAAGCCTCGACACAACTGCTTGTAGATATGCCCTCTACAAGACTTCACACTCAAGACATAAGTCACATAAGTCTTATACAACAAGAAGAACAATCTTCTTCAACCTCTCAACAATAACTCTCACAAGAGTAGAAATGAGAAAAGATTAAGCTCTATGGATGACAAGAACACTCTCTTGAAAACACTTAGTTTTCTCTCAAAATATATTAATTTGAGGAAGAAATGAATGAGGATTATAACCTCAAGATTGAGGGAGTTTTGGAGTGCTTGTTCAGTGTTAAAATGACCAAGGAAAAGAGTTTATAATGGGTTTGAAGAAATATGTCCGTTGGAGCTTAGAAAAAAGAGTTTGCTGAAAAAGCAGCATAAAAACCGATTAATGCACCATGGTAATCGATTAATGCAGTCTGTGCAAAAATCCTTCAGCAGACAAATTGATAATCGATTTTTGCCAAAGTGTAAAAATCGATTTTTGAAGCAATTATGCCCAAACAAGAAGGACACAATCATGTGTGCGAGGTGAAGTGCTATTTTGGAAATTAGCACTTGTTTAGGACATAAAAATCAAATCAAAAGGCTCCCCAATCAACATACATAATTCAAATTCAAAATTTGAATTATGAGAAAATATTTTTGGTGTAGAAAGTGAGTCCCAAAAATATTTTGTGTGTCAAACGATGAACATGAAAATATTTGAATAAAATATTTTTGCTTTCCAAAAATATTTTCTAATATCAAAATAAATATTTTGATAAATGTTTGACACACATTTTGTAATTGACTCAATGAATGTATTTTGAACAGTTAAAAAGATTTTTCAACTAACTCCAAAAATATATTATTTTTATATTTACTCTCAAAAAATAATATTTAGAGAGAAGATATTTTTGTCATCCTTACAATAACTCCTAAGACTCAAATAAATAAAAAGCCTTCGGAAATCTTTTACTCCTCCGAGTCCTCTCTTAGGCGCTCCACACGCGTCTTGGACTCCAATAAAATCATGTGCACCTTCTTTAATATTTCAAGGAATGTCACTTCAAGTCTTTGTGTTTGTCGTTGTAGCACTTTGATCTTGACTTGAATAGATTGTGTTTGTCAATTATCAAAACCTGTGAGTCAACACTTAACAACACAGAAAGGGTTGAACTCATGCATTCCAACACCGGTCATGTGCCTCGAGCATCCACTATCCACAACCCAAGTGGTATTTTTCACCTAGTAAAAAAGGAATTTACTTTTGACTTAGGTTTGGGGTTCCAATCGACGAATACCCTATGTCGATATACGGGTTTCGTCTTGGTAGGTTCCGGAAGTGGTATATGGACTTTTCGTTTTTTGTCATAATAAAAGAAATAGTATCCACCATCATTTCTTTTATTTTTCTACAAAAAGGGTTTCTTTTGATATCCAATATTCTTGGATTCCGACCGGTTAGAACCCTTCTTGACCCATTTTAATTTACGCATTTCAACTAACCATTTGTTTGGACACTTTGTCACAGTATGGTTAGCTTGCATGCAATAATGGCAAGCCTTTACTTTTGATTTAGAAGTTGAGGCTTGGTTTGATGGGTTAGTTTTAGAGATATTAAAATTGTTTTTAGCCATACTCATCAAGTTTGTGGATTGACCATAACCAATATCTTCTTTCGTTAATTTTGTTTGGTTATCCCATTCTTTTGTTGAGTTATAGCTATTGTAAAACATTTTCAAAGCCCCTCGTTTGGCCTTGTCTTTTTCTTTAATCAAAATTTCAATTTTCTTTTGAAGTTCTTCATTTTGGTTTTGAAACTTTTTAAGATTAAGTTTTAAATTTTTCTTTTCATCACGAGAAGTTTCAAGAGCCACCTTGAGTTCCTTTTTCTCCCTAATGGTTCGAAAAAGGTCCTCTTGGCATTCATCAAACGCTTGCCTTAACTCATCAAAAGTAATTTGACGTTCAAAAGAGGTAAATGAATTTTGAGAACTAACCTCTTCTTCATCATTGGAGGCCATGAAGCAAGCATTGGCATTTTCTTCTTGGCTTTGGTCACTATCACTTTCGTCGGATTTCAAGTCATCCCAAGTGACCTTCAATGCTTTCTTCTTCCCCTTTCTTAGCTCTTCCTTCTTTTTGAGATTTGGACATTCCGGCTTGATATGCCCTATATTTCCACATTCATAGCAAGTTATTTGATTTGATTTACCTTTCTTTGGTGGAAATTTCTTTGAGGATTCGCCCTTGTTCCATTTCATGAATTTTTTGTATCTCTTGAACATGGCGAGTTCCTCGTCACTTTCTCCTTCGCTCTCCGGATGGTCATCAATTTTGAGTGCCATGGTCTTCTTGATGACAGGAACCTGTTCTTCTCCCTTCATTTTCTTCAAAAGAAGCTCATGAGAGTATAGGCTGCTCCAAATGGTGGAGGTTTCAACATCCGCACATTTGGGCAACAAATTTACAACAAGACTATGCCACTCTCTAGGAAGAGAGAATATAATTTTGGTGTTAATCTCACTAGTAGGATGAACTTTATTTAGCTTACTCAAATTGTTGACAATAAGGTTGAATTGTTTGTTCATATCTTGAACGGATTCTCCGGCCTTCATCTTGAAGTTTTCGTACTCGGATGTTCCTAAAGCTATCTTGGTAGCTTTTGTGTCTTTATCTCCTTCATTGGTGGCTTCTAGGAGCTTCCATGCTTCCTTTGCGGATTTGCAAGAGCTCACTCTAGCAAACTCATCTGGACCCAATGCACAAAACAATATGTTTAATGCTTTGGCACTCAAAGAGAGTTTTTTCTTGTCATCGATTGTGAGCTTGTCCTTTGGTATAGGCACTTTCACCTACAGTTGTCATAGGAACAAAAGGACCATTAGTAGTGACTATCCATAAATCATAGTCAATAGATTGAATGAAATTCTCCATTCACATTTTCCAATAGCCATAGTTATCCCCATTGAAGAATGGTGGCTTGGTAATGCTTTGGGAGTTCATTGAATCCATGTGTCGTAAAAAGAAGTAAAAGATGAGTGTGAAAGGATCAAACTTCCTGCTCCGATATCAATTGAAAGTCGGTTTACACCCTAAGAGGGGGGTTAATTAGGGTGTTTGCAAGTTTTTTTATAAAAACAAAAACTTATGCGCAAAGTAGTAGTGGAAAAAGAGCAAGAAAAGTATAAAAGATAAAAATACGACACAAGCGATTTTATACTGGTTCGGGAACTCCCTACTCCAGTACCTCGAGGCTCCTCCTCAAGGATTTAACCTCCACTATCTTGTTTGACTTCACTAAGAAGACTCAAACGAGGTTTGGCAAACAACCCTTCCCAATAAGCAAATGAGATTTTACTACGGCTATCTCAACCGTTTACAACCGAAGATTTTAAGGCTATCTTCAACCTTACAATGAGGATTTAAAGGCTATCCACACCTTTTACAAATCAATAAAAGATTGGTGTTGCTTCTCTACCAAAATAATAACAAATATGAATTGGGTAGGATAAGAACAAAAGATTAAATCAACAACAACAAAAGCCTATAGGCAAGATATAAAATAATGAAGCACAAATGCCCTTCTGTGTGAGTGTATAAAAATAATGAAAGCTTTATACTCAAAAGAGTAAGAAAAATAAGAACAAAGCTTTTAGAACACTCAAGATTAGAGAAAGAAGCTTTGGATTTAATTGGGAAGTTGTTGTATGTAAAATGAGACTTAGAGGGGGTTTATATAGGAGTTTGGAATGTTAAAATTTGAGTTTTTAACGTTAAAAGCCGTTAGGAAGTGATTAGGGGTGATTTGAATTTAAATTGGCAATTTGCTACAGTGATTACAACGGATCTGGTACCCTTCACGATAGGGTCAGTACCGTCCGGTACCTAGGTACCGTGACCACGGTACAGCCTACCGTTTCGGGGTACCGTGTAGGCCAAAACTTTGGTTCGCCTCTGGCGGCACCTAGTTAGGACGGGTTGGGCCAACCGTCTATGCCTACCGTCGGTACCTAGGTACCGTTACACGGTAGGGGGGGGTACCGTGTAACACTTGGGTGAAACGTACAGCGGTACGTTCACTTGGCTACTGGCGGTACCCTGGTGTCGTGTACACGGTAGCCTGGTACCGTTAGGCCTGTGTAAATTTTCCAAAACTCGTGTTTCGTGTTCCGTTTTCAAAATAACCCCAACTAAGAATATATTTGACATTTTAAAATTAATTTTTGAGTGAAAGGGCATAAGTAAATCATTAAAATATATCATTACCTTTACACAATAATTTCTAAACTCGTAGGAGTATATCTCGGTGATGCTAAACAAGCTAATAGAGGTTTGGCATTTGGTTTCTTCATGTTAGTAGCATTTGGAAGACTTATTTGGCACATCAAAATGGTTACGGGGTACGGCATTCAAGGCCAACACTGCCCTCCTACACCAGCTCACTGAACGACTAAAAGGGGAGTTTGCTGTGACAGATATGGGTGACCTTCACTTCTTTCTTGAGATCAATGTCCAGCGGACCTCTCACAGCCTGTTCCTCACCCAGAATCAGTTCATCTATGACATCCTCGAACGGGCCGGCATGACCTCGTGCAAACCTATTTCTACACCCGTGGACACTTGCGGGAAGCTCTCGGCCACCGCTGGTCCTCCAGCGCCAAATCCCTCTCTATCACTCTATTGTGGGAGCACTGCAGTACCTCACCTTCACCCATCCGGATATTACCTATGCCGTAAAGCAGTTATGTCTATTTCTTCATTATCCTCGTGTGCCACATGTCACAGCCATGAAGCGCGTTCTGCGTTATCTTCACGGTACACCTACCCATGGCATCACCATATCACCTTCTCAGACGGATCATATGCGGGCGTATTCTGATGCTGATTTGGCTGGCTGCCCAGATACTCGTCGATCGACATCCGGTTACTGCATTTTTCTAGGCGACAATCTCATCTCCTGGTCCCTTAAGCGACAACTCACCACCTCTCGATCTAGTGCTGAAGCAGAATATCGAGCTGTCGCTAATGTCGTCGCTGATGTCAGTTGGGTACGCAATCTTCTTCTCGAACTCCGGCAACCTCTGACACGCTCCACACTGGTCTTCTGTGATAACATCAGTGCCGTCTACCTTTCGACCAATCCTGTCAAGCATCAGCGCACGAAGCACATTGAGGTCGACATTCATTTTGTGCGTGACAGAGTAGCCCTTGGTCAGATACGAGTACTTCATGTGCCTTCTTCCTTACAGCAGGCAGACACCTTCACCAAGGGACTACGCTCCATGGTCTTTTCCGAGTTTCGAGATTGTCTGGGCGTGCGGCGATCTTCATTAGTGCCACTGGGAGCATGTTAAATACGGAGTATATTCTTACTATATTTAATATTAATGTATATTGGTAGCTACCATAATTCTATAGGGTACATTTAATATTGTTTCCTATTATCATTAGGAAACCCTTGTATAAATACACATGTAATCTCCCATAATAATTTATGTGAAAATATTTATTCTTCACAAACACATCCTAGAGGACTACTTTTCAGTGTTTCTCTTGAGCCTTGAGCTTGAGCTCATGCATGAATGCCTCCAAATGCTTCTCTGAAGACCCATTTGCAGACACAGCTCTCTACAGTTTCTCCTTTTCTATTTTCACGTTCTCTCCAAATCTCTCCCTTGTGGCACCCCTACTCATGAGACGCTTCGCTTTCCCCCTAACTTCTTCCCTTTCGACCGCCTTTCCATCACAAAGGTTGATCCCGACTTTCCAGTCCTCGACCACGAGTCTCCTGTTCGCGGGTTGATCCGTGAACAGCGGGAAGCACAGCATTGGGACTTCCCACCACACGCTCTCCAGAACCGAGTTCCACCCGCACGTCGTTGCACCACGGCACGACGAGCCCTCTTCCTTCGACCTCGCGGCCGAATCCCGCGGGGAAAAGATCGGGCTCGTCCACGGATGAGCCCGTGATGTCCCCGCGGGCGATCTCACGAATCGCGTGCTTGTCCACACTTAGGGGTGTTCATCGGTCCAAGACCGGACCGAATCGGACCGAACCAGACCGGACCGAAGACCGAAATGGGAAAAAACTAGGACCGAAGACCGGACCTATAATTGTTCGGTTTTAGACCGGACCGGACCGAAAACCCTTGGACCAGACCGGTATGGACCGAAAAGACCGAACTGTACTAAATCTTTTACTTTTTAGAACTGAATTTTTAAATGTTTTACCAAGTAAAAAACACTAATTATACCCAAAAAAATACAGTTCATCACAAACCAATGAATCATCATGGGAAATTAGAGATGCATTTGTTATAAACTGAAAAAACTTCATCATGCAATTGTATAATAAAAAAAATTACAGTAACTTGGATTTTATTTATTCTTTAGATTCCTTCCAAAACTGAACCAAAAATAATAATTCCTCACAAATCATCATAGGGAATTAGAGATGCAATTATATCAAACTGATAAAACTTCATCATTCAATTGTATAAAAAAAGTACAGCATACAATTTTACAAAAAAACGGTCCTTGGATTACAAACTGGAGAGGAGAAAAGGGATTACATCCTTGATGTAGCATGCTTTTTTGTCTATTATTTAGCCTTAATAGAACAAACCTTAAAAAAAATTGGGTGGTTTATTCAAAAATAAAATTGAAAACTTCCTAACCTGTGAATCGACTATCAAGTAAGAGAGGAAAGGCACCCCGCGGAAGTGGATTGTGGGGAATCCGCAGTGATTGCCGACACTGGTGGAGGCCGGAGAAGGTGAGTGTGGTGGCGACTGGCTAATCGATGAGAGCTGCCAAAATTGGTGACGGGTTGAGAAGATGGAGGAAGGTGCGAATCAACTGGGTGGAGAAGATGACGAAAAAGATAGAGATTGTGGAATTTCATAACGCTACTATCCTTTTTGTTGATTCAATTTGAAGAATCAAAGTACTGAAGAGGACTTTTGAGTGAGAGGGAGAAACGTGACCAGAGAGAAGGGAATGAATGGATAGGATAGGGTTGTGGATATTAGCAGGTAATAGGTTTTTTCGGTCTCTCGGTCCAGACCGAATGGTAATCGGGTATGGACCGGACCGGACCGAAACCCGAAATCATAAATATTCCGGACCGAAGACCGACCCAATATTAGTTCGGTCCGGTTTCGGTCTGGACCTAACGGTCCGGTTCGATCGGTTTTTTCGTTCCAGACCTAAATATGAACACCCTTATCCACACTTGCCAGACTCCCGAAGGAGACGTAGAGGACCAAGTTCTCTGGCCGGGCGTCGAGCCAGGGCAGCAATCGGACGACTCCGACCGGAAACTAGTCGGAACAGCGGTCTTCCGAGCGACGCTGTCCCGGAAGACCGGGACGAGCGGGTAGAACAGCTTCTTGTGTTTGAGTGCAGCGATTGCGGAGGACTCCAGCTCAAAAACGGTGTTGGAGACGATGATGGCCCCGTTTGGCATCAGCGTCAGAGATTAGCGTTAGCGTTTTGAAAAAGCTATCCGACGGTAGCCTTTAGCGTTAGCGTTTTCAGAATTAATCTCTACCGTTAAAATTTTATCCAAAACGCTAACACTAATCGAAAACGTTGTTACCAAACAAAGCCGATGTGGGCTTTGACGGCGTCTTCGAGGGATTTGAAAACGTAAGTGTTCATTAGGGTCCATGGCTCGGAGTCTTAAAGGTGAGAAGGAATATCTCTCGCTTTGATTGCTTCCGATACACTCCAGGTATGTAATCTATAACTTCATCCTCTCTATTATTGTCTAGCAACCATCAAATTACCAAAGTTAATCCAATCATTAATGATAAGATGATATGTCTTGATCTATAGATCATATATCTCATTTTTGAATTGATATTGCATCTTTTGGTAAAGGACTTTATTTTGCAACACACACCACTGTGATGGGTTCAAGAAGTTTACAAGAGAAAACAAAAGAAGGTACAACGAAAGGAAAATACGAGGAAATTAAAAAATGAACAACAAACAAGAAAAAAATAGAATTCTTTTAGAAGTGAAATTTACACTAAATAAGACTAAAACATAAGTCATTTCTCAATGTAGGTCTTAAACTTAATAGTTGATGGTGTAAATTACTTGACTGGTCAAACTATACTAGACCGGGTCTAGAATAGTTTGCTTGATTTGGCAAAGTAAGAAAGGTAAAAACACGCAGATTGACCGGTAGGACTTTAGGTGGAACACCTGTAGCCCAATTTATATTATAACGGAGAATGCACGGGTGCTTTTACAAGGGAGTTTAGAGAGAATGAATTCGGATCCCTCTTTCTGAGGTTTACATGAGTATTTATACTAGGCTAAGGGGACAGGACCACGTGCGCCCACGTGGGGGCATGCTGCTGATGTGGTGCGAGGTGACTGGTTTCGTCCTCAAGCTGCCTTGTCGCCTTGTGAAGGGGATCATTCCCTTTGTCGAGTAGTGCCTTGGATGGATTCTTCAGCATCTCCAGTTGTCCTCTACTGATACGGGTCGCTACACGCCAAGCCCTCGCAGATCCTCTTCTGCCGACACTTTCCAACCCCAGAAACTACACCGGGTAATCTCCGAGGGATGAATTTATCGAAGTCTGGAATAAATAGGATGACAACGTAGTTTGACCGGTATACTTTTTTGTGAAGTATACCGGTCATATTTTGGCCGATGATATATCGTTTTGCTGACGATTTAAGTCTCCCTTCCAAAACTCTCGAGATTGACCAGTCAACGATTTGGCCTTCTCCTTTGACCGGTCGTGGGTGGAATACACCCATCAATAAGCCCTCCACTTCTCGGTCATGCAATTTGTCATGAGCTGAAAGTAAAAAATCCTGAAAATGGGTTCAAATTTTGAATTTCTGTCCGTTTCCCGCTAGAATATTTCAAATTTTGAATTTGAAAAGTATCCGTTGGACACGTGCCGCGCGCTGGACGCGCCTCTTCTGCGTTCGCCCCGCCTTCCCCAGGTGTCATGATGGCGCCACCTGACGCGGCGTGCCTAGAGGAAGCCACGTCGCCCTCGCTCAATTCTTCCTCGCCTATATAAAGGCCTCCACCCCTCTCCTTTGTTCACTTTCCGCGATCAAGTCTCAGAGCTTTCACCGGTCAAGTTCCTTCTCTTTCGCTATCAGCCCTCCGAGCCAAGTAAGTTTCCCCTTCCTTCTCTACGCCCGGTCAGGTTCCCCAGTCCTCTATTCCTGACCCGCATCCCGTTAATCAGATGCCCGGTGAAACTTTCGTGGGGAGGGATGACCCGGTCGATGACGAACCGGGCCCCTATGACCCTGAGCACGAAACCCGGGATGCGTGGGAGGAGCGACTTCATGCTGCCGGTTACTTTCCGCTTCCCACCTTCTACGTCCTTGACATCCCTTCCCGGGTATCCAAAATCGCCCTGAACAAAATTCGTAGGAGGCTCCCGGACGGGTATACCCTCCTGTACGAACCCAACTGGCCCAACATTGTCGAACCCCACCGGGAGGATAGGATAGGGTTCCACACCATTTCCCTGGATGCGGGCATAGTTTTTCCCCTTCGCCCCCTCCTAACCGAAGTATGCCACTCGTTTGGGATTTTGCCCGGTCAAATAACTCCCAACGCCCACCGGTACCTCCATTCCTTTGTAAATATCTGTACCCATCTGAAAATCTTCCCTTCTTTGCGTCTTTTCCTTTTTTGCTTCGAAGTCCTACCGGGCGGAGCTGGCTGCGAAGGCTTTGTATTCTTCAAAGCCCGCACCGGTAGAAAGTTCATTTCCGAAGTCCCCCAGGGTAACCGGGGATGGAAGGAAAAGTTTGTTTTCATCGAGTTTCCCCCCTTCTTCACTCCTCTGGCCGGTCTGAAATGGAATGACCATCTCCTCGACCAAGAGTATGCTGCACCGGCCTCCTCCCCAGACTTGGAAGCTAGTCTCGAGATCCTCATGCGCGGGGATCCTCAAACCGGGAGGATCTTCCATCAAGGCAGCTGGGTTTGAAGGGTAGATCCGGGTGGTGAGGGTACCTCCCAGGCCCAGGAAGCAGCGGGGCGCGGGGTACCCTCCCCGGGCAACACTGCAAAGGCTGAGGGCCAGAACCACCCAGGTACTTTTCACTTTTCTTGTGATTCGTAGTTTGACTGGTGTCTCTCCTGGTACTTAACGATTTCAGCTTCTCTTGCAGATATGGAGTTTGAGGAGTTCGCCATCCCTGACGACCAACCAGCCGGGGAGACCGGGGGCTCCAAGCCAATCCTGCCAGGACTTTCCCGGTCAATCCAGAGACCGTGGAAATCTTGGATGAAGATGAGCCCCAAGACAACCGGTCTAAGGGGAAGGAGAAGGAAAAGGCCGGTCGCCGGGTGTAGAAGGTGGCCACTACGCACCCTTCCTATGCCAAGAAGAGGGCAAGGTCAGATCCTGAGCCGGCCGGCCAGACCATTGAAGAGGCCTTCATTAATCTGGGGCTGAGGCTGAAGGAGGTAAGTCCTGCCGCTATCCCGGTCTTTATTTTCTTTTTCCTCTATTGAGAAACTTACCAGTATGTTTCGTTTTTGTGTAGGCGGGGGAGATTGGGCCGCACACAACGGACCGGTTGGGGATGAGTTCCCCTTCTGAAGTCGAACGGCTGAAGAAGGAGAAAGAAGAGATGGCACTCATCCTGAGGAGCCAGGCTGATGAGCTGATCCGGCTGTCTGGGCTGGCCGGGGCAATGAAGATCGAGATCTTCCAACTGAAGGAGGAGAATGGCCGGCTCCTGGATGAAGTCGCTGAAGCCAAGAGGGAAGTAGCGGAGAAGGAAGAAACCTTCCCCGGGCGCGCAGCTGCCTGGGTGGAAGAGAATAAGGCTGAAGCTGCCCGGGTGATGACGGCGACTCCAGAGACGACGATGGAGTCCTTCAGGCTTCTGTACCGGGAGCCTGAAGGAAAGAAGATGATTACCGCGATTGGATCCTTCGGATTCAAGAGCGGTCAAAAGAAGGACAGGATCGCCTCTCACCGGGTACTGCTCAGAAGAGATCCAAACTTCAGCGCTGCATTCTATGGCCTGGCTCCCATCCCGGAAGAAGAGCCAACCCCCCCTTCCCCCTAGATTAGGTTCTCCCCGGCTGCGCCCGGTCGTTTTTGTAAAACTTGAAACCTTATCAATTTCCCCGGGTATGCCCGGTGTATCTGTAAACATTTGACATTTCCTGCCTTAAATGCCATGTTTATTTTCCTACCCGGTTAATCTTCCATATCTGCTTGCTTGTTGATTTATACTTTGCTCTTGCTTCTTAGAATACCATCATAGAAATTCTGACCGGTACATAAATCAGGCCACTTCTCAATTGTTTTCGACCGGTGGAACCTCAAAGTTCTCTTTGATTACTTCATCTGAAGGATTAGCTCGAGTATCTTTGACCGGTTAAACTTCAATTTTTGCTTTTCGAATGTCTTCATCATGGTGGCCAACTTAAAAAGTTTGACCGGCCGAACTTTACTTTGGCCTTTTGGACAGCTTCACAAATTCTTTGATAAAGTACAGTTTGACCGGTAGGTTCCACTCCCTGGTGTGACCGGTCACCTGCCTTGCCTTATGGAACTTTCGAAGTTCTGTTGTGCCCATACCCGACCGGGGTATTCTTTTCTTTTTTTTTTTTGACCGGTAGGTTGTAGATGGAAACACCCGTAACCTAGAAATTCTTGAAGTATCCTTAACCGGTAAGAATACTAGAGATTTAACCATGTCGAATGGTTTCGAACCCTCTCCAAGGTTCAAATGCACCCTTCTTCCAGGGCCCCCTCTTCCGGGTGATTAAGTCTTTTAATGGCCCTTTGATTTCTACCATTCCGGGAAGGCCTTAGCTCACCTTCCCGTTCAAGTCTTCCCTGAGAAGGGGGAAACAGGATGCGCCACGGTGGACGATCCCCTTCTATTTCTTTTAATGGGCATCTTTTAGTCCCCAATCAATTTGACGGCGCCGGCTGATTCCCCGACACCGGTAAACCTCATGGGCCCGTGTAAGTACGGTTCGAACCCTCTTCCAGGTCCAGCCCTCTTGCAGGCATACCCTCTTCCGGGCCCCTCTTCCGGGTTTTAATATTTTTTCTATTATACTGAGCAAGACCGGTGTAGTAACCAGCGTGCCAGGTCCGGGCCTGTGTCTCAATTGGCTTATCCAAGTGGATTTGATCCACCCAGGAAGCCCTCCTAGGATAGGTTTGACCTACCAATTCCGCCGCTACCAAGTAGAGCATTGAATATTACTTTGATTGATAATGTAGTTAGGCCTCGCCTAGTATTACAATCATTTGTAGAACTTGTGAAGATGGTGGGAATTCCAAGTTCTTTCTATCGGTACACCATCTAAAGTTTCTAATCGATACGTTCCTGGTCGAATGATGGCTCTAACCCTGTATGGGCCTTCCCAGTTTTTTGCCAGCTTTCCTCCGTCGCCGGGTCTACTTGCTTCTCTTCTTCGTAGGACTTCATCTCCAACTTGGAAGTACCGAGGCCCAACCTTGTTGTCGTGGTACTTCTTCACAACTTGTTGGTATGTACTCATTCTAACTTCCGCGGCCATCCTCCGCTCTTCGACCAAGTTGAGTTCGGCCAAGTGATCTTCCTCATTTTGTTGGGGTTGATAATTTGATTCCCGAAACGTTGGGAATTCAGCTTCGATGGGCAGCCTTGCTTCACACCCATAGGTTAGGGAGAATGGAGTTTCCCCGTGAGCCCTCCTGGGTGTTACTCGGAATGCCCATACGATGTGTGGGAGCTCTTCCAGCCACTTGTTCCCGGCTTCTCCCAGCCGTTTCTTTAGACCATCCACAATTGTTCGGTTGGCGTTTTCGACTTGGCCATTCCCCTGGGGGTATGCTACTGAGTAGCGATTGTGCTTTATCCCGAAGCCCTCCAAGTATTCAGTGAACCTTGGATTTCGAAATTGTGGGCCGTTGTCGGTGATGATGTTCATGGGCGCTCCAAACCTCGTGATGATGTTCTTCCAAATGAATTTCTTGCATTGTTGCGTGGTAATGTTGGCCAATGCTTCGGCCTCGATCCATTTGGTGAAGTAATCGATGGCTACGATTACAAACTTCTTCCCTCCTTGGGCGACTGGGAAGGCTCCAATGATATCAACCCCGAATCTAGCGAATGGGATGACATTCGATACGGGGTGGTAGTAGGTCTCCGGTCTACCGGGATACTTGTAGAATGCTTGGCACGTCCTGCATTTCTGGACGTACCTTTCACAATCCTGTACAATTGTTGGCCAGTAATACCCCAACAAGATGATGCGCTGGGAAAGCGTACGGGACATTTAATGCGCCGCGCATACGCCTTCGTGGACCTCCTTTATGACTCGCTCAGCCTCCCGGTTGGTTAGACATCTCAGGAGTGGCCCCCCAAATGCCCTTTTATACAGCTTTCCATCGAGAATCTGGAATCGGGGTGCCCTGAGCTTCACTTTCCTTGCCCGGTCATCTTGTTCTGGCAAGCTCCCATCCATCAAATATTCCATCAGATCATACATCCAATGGTCGTCCGCCCCGACCAAGTTTGACCGGTCAAATTGGCTACCGGCCGTTATAGCGGCGACTTCCAATTTTTCGATGCTTGCACGGTCAAGGATCTATACCCGGGCAAGTTTTGAAACATGCTCGGGAGCATACTGCGTTAATTTGGAGAGAAGGTCTGCATCCGTGTTTTCCGCCCGGGGAATTTGGGCGATCTTGAACTCTTCGAAGCCTTTCAACAGGGCAAGTACAAGATCCTTGTACTGTGCCATGCGCCCTTCCCTTGCCTCCATGTTACCGGTCACCTGTCCAACTATCAGGCTAGAGTCAGATTTGATACTGACCCGGCTGATTTTTAGGGCTTGGGCAAGTTTGAGCCCTCCAGCCAGAGCTTCATACTCCGCCTCGTTGTTCGTCAGCTTGAAGTTGAAGACAATTGCATGGTAGATCTTGAACCCTTCTGGGGTGGTGAACACGATACCACCCCCGTATCCTCTAAGACCGGATGCCCCGTCAACTGCCATCTCCCACCATTGCTCAGTGGGCTTGTTGACCGGTAAGTCTGGAGTTAGACCGGTCATTTCTACTAGGAAATCAGCTAGGGCCTGTCCCTTAATTGCCGACCTTGGCCGGTACTCAATGTGGAATTGAGTTAACATCATCGCCCACTTCACCATCCTCCCGGAGGATGTTGAATTTCGCAACACTGCACCCAGCGGTTGGTCAGTCAAGACTTCTACCGGGTGAGCTTGGAAGTGGGATGTTAACTTTTTTGCGGAGATGAAAAGCGCATAGGCTGTCTTTTCCATCGCCGTATATCTACTCTCAGCCCCGTTTAGTGCTTTGCTCACATAATAAATGGGCTTTTGCGCCCCATCATCTCTTATTAAAATGGTGCTTACAGCGTTTGGGGAAATTCCCAGGTACAGATACAGAGTTTCACCCGGTTCGGGTTTAGACAATACAATATCCGACGCTAGGTACTCTTTCAGCTCCTCGAATGTCCTCCGGCATTCTTCGTCCCATGCGAATGTGTTGGCCTTCTTCAGAACTTTGAAGAAGGGCAGGGATCTCTCAGCTGACCGGGAAAGGAACCGGCTGAGGGCCGCTAAACGACCGGTCAACTTCTGAACATCCCTTACGGAGGTAGGGGCCTGCATTTCAGTGATAGCCCGGATTTTTTCTGGGTTGGGCTCTATTCCTCTCTTGGTCACCATGAATCCCAAGAACTTCCCGGTACGAACCGCGAAGACGCATTTCTTAGGATTTAGCTGGAGGTTGTACCTTGCCATGATATCGAACGTGGCTCGCATATCAGCCGGGTGGTTCAGAGATACCTGGCTTTTGATCAGCATGTCGTCGATGTATGCCTCCATGGTATTTCCCAGTAATGGCTTGAAGAGTTTGTTCACCATGCGCTAGTAGGTTGCCCCCGAGTTCTTCAAGCCAAACGCCATTACCCGATAGCAGTAGGTTCCTCCGGGTGTGAGGAATGACGTCTTCTCTTCATCCTCCTTGGCCATGTAGATTTGGTGGTAACCCTTGAAGGCATCCATGAAACTTAGGAGTTTGCACCCCGCAGTCTCGTCCACCATTTGATCTGGACTGGGAAGGGGGTATGAATCCATCGGACAAGCCTTGTTCAAGTCCGTATAATCCACACACATTCTCCACGTGTCGCCCTTGGGAGCAAGGACAACGTTGGCCAGCCAATCCGGGTACTTGACTTCCCGGATGTGACCAACACTGAGGAGGTCTTTCACCTCCTTCTTGACGAAGTCTCGCCGGTCACTGGCCAGGTACCGCTTCTTTTGGCGTACCGGTCGACTTCCCTCTCTCACGGCCAACCGGTGGCAGATAACAGAGCGATCTATCCCGGGCATATCCGCCACGCTCCATGCGAATATGCCCGCGTATTCTTGGAGGACCCGTGTAATCTGTTCCTTGACATCCTCGGGGATCTCAATAGTGATTAGTGAGAAAAATAAAGTCCAAGTGATGTTGGACATTTAGTTGAATAATGACTAAAAGATAATGACCAATGGTCCTACATTGGGAAATAAAAACATATGGTCCTATATTGAGAAAGTCATTATGTTTTAGTTCTATTTAGGTAAATTACCCTTTAATTTTTTGGTGATTTATCTCAACCAGACTAAAATATAATGACTTTCTCAATATAGGACCATATGTTTTTATTTCCAAATATAGGAGCATTGATCATTATTCAAGTAAATATCCATCATCACTGGACATTATTTCTCCCACTAGACATAATTAAGTACTCCCTCCGTCCCATAAAGATGAATACAATTTGACTAAAGTGATAAAATAAGAGAGAGATAATTTTGTGTTGGTTTTCCAAAAATACCTTTGATGTGATGGGTAAAAGTAGAATGTGATGTTTAGATTATTAGGAAAAAAGTATGATGTGATAGGAAGGGTATGCAAAAGTAAGGGTAAAAATAGTTTTTTAATAGAAATGGGAAGGACTTTTGGCGACAAAGTTTTTTTTGAAACGTGAAAGACTTTTTGGAACAGATAGAGTACTATTTTGCAAATAAAAAGTTTAAGTCATACATTGGGAAGCCACTGCTCTGATTCGAATATTTATGGTGCTCCATTCATAAAACTGATGATTTCTACCTCCCCTAACATCCCGCAGTGTTTTTCTATTAGTTGTGTTTAAATCTTGTTCCCAATTTCAACAAAATTTGGTGATCGTGATAAGAAACTTGACATTGTATGTTGGCAATCTTGACATTTCACTCTCTTTTTTACATTTTATATTGACATGTTTGGCATTACGCAATAACATGTTTGGCATTATGCAATGACATGTTTGTCAGTATGCATTAATCGTCTTTGATTGTCATATGTTTACTACTACTTTGGTCCTTCTCCCTTTGAAATATCAACATACGGAGTATAAATTCAATGTTTTAGTTGGTAGATGTCTAGTAAAAAACAACAAAAATGCTAGGGGTACACCATTTGGAAATGGTGTACCCCATTTGTACCCCCTCCATCTCCACCACACAAAGCAAGAGAGAAAAAAATTAAAAATAAAAAAATAAAGGACTACTGGACTAGGATGCATGGTGTACAAAATGGGGTACCACTAGCATTCCTCAAAAAACAATTATTGGTCTAAGTACTCTCTCCCTGTCATACCTTTCTTACAACTATCGACATAAGTACTCCCTACGTCTCAAACTTTTTTCTTTGATTTTTCACGATCTTCAATTTAACACTTTGACCATTAATTAATATCTTTATTTTTGTATAGATACATAGTATAAAAATGTTACCCGTAAATATCAAAACTACATTTCATAATGAATATGATCTTTTGATATTAAATTTACATAATGAGTTATTTCGAATCTAAAAAGGAAGACGAAAAAAAAGTATTACAAAGTAGAACTCCTGGATAAGAGTTAAAAGTTATGAAAATACCAAAATAAGAATGAAAGTCTTTTATGGCCAACATTGGAACTAACACTGCCATTGTTACAGTATCAAGCTTAATACATTGTCACATTTCAACTGTCATGCTATAATTGACACACTATCATCCTCACCACACTAGCCACCAGCAAAAGTGCCGCTGCAGATTACTGCGACGGTTTGCGGAATCCGTTATCCTCTTTATCGCTGCATCACTGAATAATACTTGAGCAAACTGCGTTTCGGGTGGGTTCGTTTGTTGTAGTCCTGCATACATCTTTTTGTTACTCCCTCCGTTCCACAAAACCCTTTCTTTTTCGTTTTTTTACTTTCCACAAAACACTTCCACTTTCTAATAAAAAACCACTTTTACCCCTACTTTTTCATACCCTACCTATCACATCATACTTTTTCACTAATAACCAAACTATCCCATCTTATTTTTTCCCATCACATCAGGGGCAAAATTGGAAAGTCAACCAAAATTACACTTTCCTTATTTTTCCCAAAGTCAAAACCAGAAGGGTTTTGTGGAACGGAGGGAGTATAATTTTGCTTTTTTTGTAAAGGAACTAGAAACTACCTAGCTTAAAATGTGGCGGACCTAGAATCCCAGGTATAATACACGTATTATACTTACGTACGTATAATATGTGTATTAAACTCACGTATCCGCATAATTTTTAAAAATACTTTAAAATACACGTATACATGATACTATACGTATAATTACGTATAATACGTATGAATTGAATATTTTATTATAAATTTTTTTGTACAACAACAAATATTAATTTGTTCAAAAAATATTTAATTACAATATGAGTGCTACTTTGTATAAGTTATATATACAATTTATCAGATTGAAAAAAATATAAACAATCTACATTCTATAAAAATTTACATTTTTTTGTCAAGTTAAAAAAAACACTTAATTCTTTTCTTTTTGTCTGTCTCAAAAAATTTATTTTCTTTTTAGAAAGGAATGACTGACTCACGACTCTAATTTGTTTTTTCTGAATATATTCAAACTATAAAGTTTTTATTTTTAACATTTTTAAACTACTTACGTAAAAATCAAATAAGGATATTTTTCCTAATGAAGGGAGTATATATTTCTTTCAAATAAATATTTTAAATAAATAGAGATTCTAATTTGAAAAAATATATTGTAAATATTTCATTTAAAAAATAATTGTATTTTGTTTATTTACCCTAATATAAATTGCTTATTATCAATCGATAAATATGTGTATATGATAATATATATAAACATATAATAAGACGTATGCCGAACGTTTAATATGCCGAACGTTTAATATGGATATATAGTAAGTCGTATTTTATAAAATCCTAACGTATTATACACGAATGTATGTATTGACGTATTATACGTCAGCCATATATATTACTAACTATGCCTAGAATAAGTGAAGTCAACATATTCCAATTACTAAAATCCGTAAATTCAATTCACGAGATCAAATATTATTATTATGAGTAAATTTCATAATTGATCTTTTATAGTAGGAGAATTTCCCTATTTAAATCTCTATTATCAAATATTACCTAGTGGTTCTTCTTTTATTGGTATCTTTTCACAAATAGTCTTTTTTTATCTTCTATCATGTTGGTGTTAATTTGAGAGCTAAATGTACAATTTCACAATGATCATCTTTCTTGTCGTACATTATTCAAAGGCCGCTCCTAATACGTCGTTTGTGAATTACAATCGCTTTCTACTCTAACCATACTCTACAGATGTGGTCTTTTGTCACAATCCTATCCCACAATCATAGTCGATCATTATTTTTGTGTTATCCAGCTAACCAATATAAGAATACGTCACTAAATATAAGATTGAAATTAACACCAACATGGCAGAAGATCAAAAAGGACAATTTGTGAAAATGTATCCATAAAAAAGAACAATGGAGGTAATATTCAATAATAGAGGACTAAATATAAAAACTCTCATTTTATAAATGACCAATTATAAAATTTACTCTAATAATAATAATAATATTATTATTATTATTATTATTATTATTATTATTATTATTATTATTTTGAGCTCTGATCAAATACTATATATTATTATTTTGATAAAATAAAATATTTTTGTTTCATCTTGTTTAATATCCCCTCCATCCGGAAATGTTTTTCGCAATTGACTTTTCTTGGTCAAAGTTTGTAAAGTTTGACTACGATATATGATAAAAATACATTGTATTATAATGTACAGAGTAACTTTAGTATCAATATATTTTTATTGAAACGTAGTTTTCAAATATCAAATTTTTGTAAAATATATCTATATGTATAAATAGAAATATAATTAGTGAATATGCAATCTTGGAAACCGTGAAAAGTTAAATGCGAAGAACATTTCCGAACGGAAGGATTATAACTTTTGAAGAGTTTTTTAAATATGTAAATTTTTTATTTCTATTTATATACTAATTTTTTAATAAAATAAATTTAAAAAAATTTTAAATTTCACCTTAGTTCGTTTTTCCTTTTGTGCAATCCATTTAGGTACAGAATGAGTATTTGAGAATAAAAATAATAAATAAAAAATCATCCAAAGTAGGAGTAAAACATAGAGAAAGTACCAAAATAGGAGTTTCATGTTTTTATTCCCAAAATAAGAGTTTATACTGTGACACTGTATATGGACATTTTACAAAACTTTTTGATATTATATATTGGCATGATTGGCATTGTAAATAGATTTTAGGGAGAAAGACCAAAGTAAGACTAAAACATTGAAAATATACCAAAATAAGACTTTCATGTTTTTATTTTCGAAATAGGACTTACATTACCAAACATGGTCATATACATTACCAAAAAAGTATAGTAATGTGCACATGTACAAAGTCGCATTACCACAGTGCAAAGTCCTATTTCGGGGAAAAAGACATGTAAGTCTTATTTTGGCATTTTTCTCTATGTTTTAGTCCTATTTAGGGTGATTTCACTATATTTTAACTCCTATTTTCTGAATAAAAACATGAAATTTCTATTTTGCGTATGCTTTTTATTTTTTCACTCATACTTTAGTCTTTTTACCATAAATAAAATCCCACGATTATTATTTTATATAGAAATAATCTTAAATAGGACTAAAACATAGAGAAAAGTACCAAAATAGGACTTTCATGTTTTTTTCCCGAAATAGGACTTTGCATTGTGGTAATGTGACTTTGCATTGTGGTAATGTGGCAGTGTACATGTGCAAATTACTATACTTTTTTGTTAATGTATATGACCATGTTTGGTAATGTAAGTCCTATTTCGGGAATAAAAACATGGAAGTCCCATTTTTGTATATCTTCAATGTTTTAGTCCTAGTTTGGTCTTTCTCCCTATTCTTATATACATGTGTGGCAGCCTGGCAGACATGTAATGGCACAAAAGCTGCGCTAATAAAAATAAGATCTATAGAGTAAATTATACAAAAAATCTCTTTGTTTTATGCATTTACTTTTTAAATATCAAATATCAATTATTTCGTCTTCAATTATTATATTGTTTTTCACGAATAGTCTTTTGTTAACATTTTTGTTAAATATGTAGATAAAATTGTAAATTCATTCCTCTCGTACTTCTTTTCCAAACATGTCGTTGAGATTGAAGCTTTGAACCCAAAACCAAAATCATCACTCCTCTCTTAATTGTTCGTCTTCTTGGTGAAATTAAATCTAAAATTGAAACAGTAACCTTCATGGATGAGTTTTAAAGTTTGTTTTCTTTGCAATTTGCTGAGACTAACCCATAAAACTCATCCATATCATGAAGGTTATTGATTTTGATTTTGGTTTCCACCAGGAAGATGAACAATTGAGATAGGAGTGATAGTTTTAGTTTTGGATTTATAGTTTCAAACTCAACGACGGGTTTGTGAATGAGTGTGAGAGAAGGGAGGAAGTTTAATTGAAGAGAGAAAAGAGTGTGAATATATAATTTTATCCATGTCTTTAACAAAATGTTAACAAAAGGACTATTAGTGGAAAAAAATATAAAAATTGAGGACTGAATTATTGATATTTGATACGTAAAATATTTTTTTTTAAAGAAGATATGTAAGATTATAAATATGTAAAACAAACTATAACTAGAAATCTTTTATGGAATTTACTCAAAAAAAAGTGAATATTAATCCATCAAGATGTGACACATTAAGAGGAGAAGAAGAAGCAGTCCTGCGTACGTACCTGGTGATTTGTGTGAAGTACAACAAGATTTCCTGCACTCAACCCATAATATGGCAAAAGCAACAAAACACACTATACCATTCACAATAATAACCCACAATTTATTAGACGACGACCCCACGCTATTGATCAGCTGGGACGACGTCGTCTCCCCGTCGGACTCCGCATTGCACTGTGATGATGATGGGTTGTGAAGAAACAAATAAAGAAACACAAATAATACTGCTATTATCTTCTTCATTTTGCTATTTTATTATTATTATTATTATTATTATTATTATTATTATTATTATTATTATAATGAAACAACTGTGGGAATTTCTTTCTAGTCTATGGTGATTGAAGTATATTATATATAGATAGGTTCCCATCATATATACTCCGATCCGTATGACTGCGTAGATCATAATTTACTTCAGGCCGCCATTATATTCAAAAAAAAGCATAATAAAACTGATGATGACGACCAAGAAAATGTAATTGACTAATAATGTAAAAGTTGATTTAGGCACGTTCAATTTTTTCCCCCTTTAATTACCATCTCAATCACCATACTTCATTTTCTTAGGTAACGTTTTCTTTTTAAATAATTACTCCCCTCCTCTCAAAAATATTGTCTTCATTATTACAAACAATATACTGTGCAACATTAATATATACTCCCTCCGTCCCAAAAAGTCTCACACGTTTTGAAAAAACTACGTCCCGTAAAGTCCGTTACATTTCCTTTAAAAAACCACTTTTACCTCTTACTTTTTCATACCCTATCTATCACATCATACCTTTTTCCTAATAATCTACCCATCACATCCTACTTTTACATATCACATCAAGGATATTTTTGGAAAGTCAACACCAAAATATCTCTCCCTTAATTTCCCAAAAAGTCAATATGTACCAATCTTTTTGTGACGGAGGGAGTAAAAGTTTTCTTTAAAATTACTCCCTCCGTCCCATAAAGATATGGACGTTTTGACTAAAATTAGAAATTAAGAGAGTGATAATTTTGTATTGACTTTCCAAAAATAGTCTTGATGTGATGGGTAAAAGTATGATGTGATGCGTAGATTATTAGGAAAAAGGTATGATGTGATAGGTAGGGTTTGAAAAAATAAAGAGTAAAAGTGATTTTTTAATAGAAATGAGAAGGAGATTGTGGGACGCAATTTTTTTGAAATGGGAATGACTTTATGGAATGGAGGGAGTACTTTGTGGGACGCATTTTTTTTGAAATGGGAATGACTTTGTGGGACGCAATTTTTTTAAAATATATATTTTAATTATATATTTTAAAAACACTCTTATTGTCCCTATGTGTCAAATTTTTTAAATCACATATTGGTCGAACTTCTTAATCTAATAATCTTTCCGTCCCCAAGTGACAAATTTTTAATTTTTTTTGTCACATATTGGTCGAACTTCTTAATCTACTCTTTCCGTCCACAAGTGTCAAATTTTTAATTTTGTTATGTCACATAAGATATGTTAAACTCTGTGTTTATTCTATATAATTTATTGAATAATAATTACTCCCTCCGTTACTATAAACCCTTCCACTTTTGACTTTTGGCAAAAATAAGGAAAGTGTAATTTTGGTTGACTTTCTTATTTTGTATATGATGTGATGGGTAAAAGTAAGATGTAATAGTTGGGTTATTAGTAAAAAAAGTATGATGTGATAGGTAGGGTATGAAAAAGTAAGGGTAAAAGTGGTTTTTTAATAGAAAGTGGAAGTGTTTTAGAGTGATGGGTGTATTCCACCCAGGACCGGTCAAAGAGGAAGTCCAAATATTTGACCGGTCAAGTTGACTATTCTTGGAAGGGAGACCTAAATCGCCAGTAAAAGAATGCTCGGTTAACCAAAAGGTTGACCGGTATATTTCGGATAGTATATCGGTCAAAGTACTTCGTCGCCACATTCATTCTGATTTTCAATAAACTCATCCCTCAGAAACCACCCGGTATGGTTTCTAGGGTTGGAGGGTGTCGGCAAAGAAGAATCCAAAGAAGTTTGGACCATAGCAACCAAGATCAGTGGAGAATCGCTCGAGATGTTCGAATATCTCATCCAAGACGCTACCTGACAAGGGAGTAATCTTCCCCGCAACATGACAAGGCAGCTAAAGGACGAAGGCCATCACCTCCCATCATCCGAGAACGTGCCTCCAAATGGGTGCACGATGTCCTGTCCCCTTCAAACTTAGTATAAATACTGTTGTAATCCTCAGAAGGAGGGATCAGAATGGATTCTCTCTAAACTCCCTTGTGAAAACTCCCGTGCATTCTCTGTTATAATATTAATTGGGCTACAAGTGTTTCCACATACAGTCCTCCCGGTCATTTTTCGTGTTTTTACCTTTTTACTTTATTGAATCAAGTAAACGATTCTAGACCCGGTCTAGTATAGTTTACCCGATTAGGTAATTTACACCATCATTTTTGGCACCACCCGTGGGACCGTTAAGGTTTCTTCTCATCTAAACACAAACCTACCCACAAAAACACCACTCAAAATGTCTTCAAGCCAACAAATCAACGCTACCTCTGCTCAGGTGCAAGCCACCACTGAGGGGGTCAGCATCTCCATGGTTGCGACCCAACCGGCTGTTTTTGCTCCCGTGTTGCCATTGGGTCTGAGTTCAATCCCAATTGCCCAGCGTGGTCTGCCCGTTCACGATCCCTGTCCCTTCTGCTGGACCGAGGGTCACGTTCCAACCAAGCATGACCCAGTTCATGAATGACCCTGCCAACCTACAAGCCATTCAAGGCTTTGGTCAGGTCATGGCCATGTGCCAACAGAATGGGGGGATGCCATTCCTCCCTAGCATGTTTCCATTTGCCCTTCCAGGCGCTGGAACTATGCCCCTGCAAACTCCAATGGTGGTGTCGCCATTTCAGACGCCTGTACCACAGCCTTCACTTTTCTAGCCACATCTCATTAACGCTGTGGCCCCAGTCAATTTGACTGGTGCACTCAACGCTGCTGGTCCGTCACGCCCCCGCAAGGTACAAATCCGCAGGTCACTCCTGATGGTCATTGCGTCTCAGTTGAGAGCGGTGACGATGAGTGGGATATTCCAAGGGCCCACAAGAAGAAGAAAGGAAAAACCAGCCACTTCTCGAAACTCCACCTTCAAAAGGTTGGGGGATAGGGAAGAGCGTCAGAGGAAGTCAGCCAAGCTGAGATTGGGGCAGAGCGGTGCCAATGTTAGCGCGTTCGCCCGGTTAGGCGAGAGGAGGGAGGCCGAGCCTGCCCGTACCCAGCGCTCCCGGTCTAACCGGCAGGAGCCAGTAAAGATGAGGGCCTCTCGTCAAGAAGAGGAAGCAGAGAGCCAGCCCAGAGGACCGGTGGCTAACCGGTTAACCATCCCAAATGATCGCGTCCAACAGATGGAGGTGAAACTGGAAAGGCTGAAGAAGAAGGTTGGGGAAAAGAATGACCGGGACAAACCCCTCGCCGGGTCCCCGTTCACCACAAGGGTCCATCTGACACCTTTCCCGCGAAAGGTCAAGATAGACGCCCCTAGATTCACCGGGAAGGAAGACCTAGAAATCCATCTGGATTCTTTCAATCAGAGTGCAACCATGAACGGTTGCACAGATGAAGAAAAGTGCCTTTTCTTCTTCCAAACCCTGCGGAACCGAGCTACTGAATGGTTCAACAAGCTTCGCCCAGGAAGCATTGATTCATTTAGTGACTTGGCCTCAAAATTTAAGGCCAAGTTCTAGGAGAATGGTACTAAGAGGAAGAAATTCACATATCTTAGTACAGCCGGGCAGGGGGAATCTGAGAACCTCACTCAGTTCCTTACCCGGTGGAAGGAAGAGGTAGACAAGGTGGAAGAGATGAACTATAAGACAGTCTTGTCTCTCCTTTTGAATGGCTTACATGCCAGGGAACTATACAAGGAGTTCTGCCGAAAACCCCCAGCCACGTATCAAGAGGCCTACCACACTACATGGGAATTTGCTGAGGCTGAAAACCAACTCCGGGTGAAGAAAGAGGCTGAGCACGGGTTTAAGCCCAAGCCGGCGCAAGTCAATAAGGAAGAAGCACCGGGACCTAGCCGTCCAAGGCACCATTATGACCTACTTGTGCGTGTGGTCAATACCTAGCCGTCCAAGGCACCATTCGAATATCCCATCCAACGTGCTACCTGACAAGGGAGTAATCTTCCTCGCAAAATGACAAGGGAGCTAAAAGACGAAGGCCATCACCTCCCATCATCCGAGAACGTGCCTCCACATGGGTGCACGATGTCCTGTCCCCTTCAAACTTAGTATAAATACTGTTGTAATCCTCAGAAGGAGGGATCAGAATGGATTCTCTCTAAACTCCCTTGTGAAAACTCCCGTGCATTCTCTGTTATAATATTAATTGGGCTACAGGTGTTTCCACATACAGTCCTCCCGGTCATTTTGCGTGTTTTTACCTTTTTACTTTATCGAATCAAGTAAACGATTCTAGACCCGGTCTAGTATAGTTTACCCGGTTAGGTAATTTACACCATCATAGGGAATTAAAAAAAACGAAAGGGGGAGAGTTTTGTGGAACGGAGAGAATATATTATTCAAGGAATTATATAATACATGACAGAGTATATATAAATTAATAATAGTAGCTGACTAAAATAAAAATTAATAATAGAATGAAGTTAACTAAAATATAAAGACTATCATAACTAATACTATAATAATAATAATAATAATAATAATTATTATTATTATTATTATTTTATTACTCCCTCCGTTTGCAAAAAAAATTCGTACTTTGACTTGGAGCCAAAATAAGGAAGTGTTAAATTTTAGTCGACTTCCAATTTTGCCCTTGATGTGATGGGTAAAAGTAAAATGTGATGGATAGATTATTAGAGAAAAAGTATGATGTGATAGGTAGAGTATGAAAAAATAAGGGTAAAAGTGATTTTTTAATAGAAAGTGGAAGTGTTTTGTTAAAAGTGAAAAAAATGAAAGAGGAAGTGTTTTTGAGAATGGAGGGAGTATTATTGTTTAACATACTTAATAGTCAAACTAAACCAATTTTTGTATTTCATTTAATATAAATTACCTTACATGTTGATCTAAAAATGGCATAATTAGATTTATCTTATAAAAATTTTAAAGATTTATTATTATTATTATTATTATAAAATTTAAAATTCATTATGAGATAAAGAAAGGTAGTCTGCATTGGCTATATAAAACATCAAATTGAGAAAATCCTATTGGAAGATGATGAAGGTCATTGTTTTGAAAGGAGATATAAAATCTCTCCTTCGACTTTGGAACATTGAAAATCAAAAGTTAGCCCGAGCAGACGTAATCACTTGCGCAAATCTCCTCCTATGGAGCAAATATTCCGCCGCATAATTTACGGGCGGGAGAGGGTCCCATGCATTTGTACTTTATTATAAAATACAACCTCTGTCTCGCAATATTTGTCCTGTTTAACCTTTTCAAGTCAAATTAGAAAACTTTTTAGCTTTAATTATTTTCAATTTGTATTAAATATCAGTACAATAAGATAAAATTTTGAAAATTCGTATCAAGATAAGTTATTTGGCCGGGCGGAGGGAGTATAACTTTGTATTTGTTAATATATTCTCAAATCTCAACTACTAGGCATTTATTGTTTTTTCAAAATAAACACTGAGCATTCAACGTTATTACTTCTCAAGCACCTCTTATCTTTCCAGTTGTGCAATCCACCCCAACAAAACATTATTTATTTACAAAAAAACGCAACCACATGTGAATGACTTGTTCTTTTGGTAGAACATGTGACTAAAAAACTATGAAAATACTAAAATAGGAGTGCCAAATCTTTTAAGACTAAAATGAAGTTCACACTGTCTTTATTACACTCCACACTCACCACATTGTCACAAAACAACAGTCACACTATAATAGAATACATGACAAAATATATATACATTAATGAAATAATTATTTGGGAGAAAATTAAATTCCTTGTATATTGAACTGGTTTGTGAAACTCTGGTCTTGAATACAAAGATCTAACCCTCTTTATATAGGAAGAAGGTAAAGTAAACAAGAAAACTTCTATTCTTACTAAAATAAGAATTAAACAAACTAGAAAACATACTAAATACTAAACCTAATCCAACTAGGAAAAATACTAAACCTAATCCCAAAGGGATTCGGTTTCCTTCTTCAATCCCGCTTCTTTATTCTGTCTCTCACACTTTCCTTCTTCAATCATGTTTCCTTCTTCTATCTCTAACACCCCCCTCAAGCTGGAGCATGGGAGTTCAACATGCACAGCTTGGACATAAAAAAAATGTTCCTTCGATTCGCGCATCAGTGCAAGCTTCTCCGGCAGGTCCCACGCGCAATTCCTACACGTACAAATTGGGAACTGCTCCAAACCTGCAAGAAACGTTCCCTCGGTTCGCACATCTGCGCAAGCTTCTCCGGCAAGTCCCACGTGCAATTCCTACACGTAGAAATTGGGAACTGCTCCAAACCTGCAAGAAACGTTTCCTTAGTTCGCGCATCTGCGCCAGCTTCTCGAGCAGGTCCCACGTGCAATTCCTACACATGCTATCAGAGCCAGTTTTGAATTCTTGAGACCTCAAACACGCTTCTTCCCCTGCCGGTGGGTATACACAATTCAATGCCTACCGGCGGGATATTATGATTTTTTTATTTTTTTTATTGTTCTCCCTCATTCTTGAAGAAGTGGCCGAACAAGTGTTGTTCTACAGAGACAAACAACTCTTTCTGACCACTTCTTCAAGAATGAGGGAGGACAATAAAAAAATCACAATATCCCGCCGGTAGACATTGAACTGTGTATGCCCACCAGTAGGGGAAGAAGCGTGTTTGAGGTCTCAAGAATTCAAAACTGGCTCCGATACCATGAAAGAATTATTTGGGAGGAAATTCCTTGTATATTGAATTGGTTTGTGAAACTCTGGTCTTGAACCCTCTTTATATAGGAAGAGGGTAAAAGTAAACAAGGAAACTTCTATTCCTACTAAAACGAGAATTAATTAAACTAGAAAAGAAACTAAATTCTAAACCTAATCTAACTAGGAAAGATACTAAACCTAATCCCAAAGGGATTCGGTTTCCTTCTTCAATCCCGCTTCTTTATTATTATTGTTAATTTAACGTAACTTAACAGTCAAACTAAACCAATCTTTATATTTCATTTAATATAAATTACCTGACATGTTGATCTAAAAATGTCATAAAATTAGATTTGTCTTTTAAATTTTTTTAAGATTTATTATTATTATTATTATTATTATTATTATTATTATTATTATTATTATTATAAAATTTAAAATTTATTACTCCCTAGGTCCCTAAATAAACTTCCTTTTTTGACTTTTTGAGAACTTAAGGGAGAGATATTTTTGTATTGACTTTCCAAAAATACCCTTGATGTGATGTGTAAAAGTAAGATGCGATGTGTAGATTATTAGTAAAAAGGTACTCCGTATGATGTGATAGGTAGGGTATGAAAAAGTAAGGGGTAAAAGGGTTTTTTAAGGGAAAAGAGAAGTTTATTTGGGGACAAAGAAGAAACGAAAGGGGAAGTTTATTTAGGGAAGGAGGGAGTATGAGATAATAAAAGTTACTCTGCATTGGCTATATAAAACATCAAATTAAGAAAACCCTATTGGAAGATGATGAAGGTCATTGTTTTGAAAGGAGATGTAAAATCTCTCCTTCGACTTCGGAACATTGAAAATCAAAACATAGCCTCATGTTTTTCGCAGCTCTTAGAGCAGACGTACTCACTGGCGCAATTCCGAGAAGTACTAAATCTTTTAAGATTAAAATAGGAATTCATATTGTTATTATTACATTTTCACACTTACCACATTGTCACAATGCAACAGCCACACTACCATTCGTCCCGGCCGGCCACCAAAGTATCACTGCGGATCGCTGACAGTTGATTGATCAAACTGCCAATTGGTATCATATGCTTTATTATCTACTTAAGAACCCAATTTTTATGTTATAATGAATGATTGAATTGATAAATATATTAATTATTTTAATATATTTAGTACTCCCTCCGTTCCACAAAACCTTTCCCCTTTCGTTTTTTTTGAATTCCCTAAAACACTTCTACTTTCTATTAAAAAACCACTTTTACCCTTACTTTTTCATACCCTACCTATCACATCATACTTTTTTCTCTAATAACCAAACTATCACATCTTACTTTTACCCATCACATCAGGGGCAAAATTGGAAAGTCAATCAAAATTACACTTTTCTTATTTTTGCCAAAACTCAAAAGTGGAAGGGTTTAAAGGAACCGAGGGAGTATTATATTATAATTATGGTTGTGACCTATTATAGTTAGAATTATTATTATATAATATTACCTTATATAATTAGTCATTAATGTGGAGGATTCTAGAATATATTCCTCCACCTATAAATACATAGTTTGTATTCCTCTTCTATTCATTCATGAAATAAAGCATTCTTTATTATTTTACATGGTATCGGAGCCTTTGATCTTGGTTACCTAATAGTTTTTGCTTCCGCCGCCGGTTGTTTGTCCGGCGACGGCGGCCCCACTTTTACTTTAGCTTGTTCTTCATTTGATCCTAATTCTTTCATAATTCCATCTAGCAAAAAAAATATTCTCAGCCAACCACAACCGTCTATTTCTAGATCCACCACCGCCGCTTCTTGATTTAAGATAAGATTGTAACATCTACTTGCTCAGTAGGCATATCTTCAGTTAACAAGCACCGTACCCCTAGCAACACTTCATTCTTTTTGTTTCTCCTCTAAATTAGTCGTGCACGACTCTAGCGCACGTCAACCTTCTCCCTCTTTCGACGTCAGCAGCATGAGTTTGTTCGCAGTAACTTTTCTTCTCTCCTCATCAGCGCCATCATATCTCTTTCCTGGCAATCTTTCTTCTTCTCTTCTGGGCCGGATGCATTCAGTCTACTCAAGCCGAAGATATATGCCTCTAGCTTCTGATTACAATTCTGGTCACGATTCAAGTAAAAGT